AGGGGGGCTGAATACTTTTGCACATCGCACTTTTCAGTTTTTTATTTGTAAAAAATGTTTTGATTCATGTAAACTTTGTGTTGGTCTTTCACATTAAATTCCAGTGAAATATAGTTATGTTTGTGGTTGTAATGTGACAAAATATGGAAAAGTTCAAGGGGTATGAATACTTTTGCAAACCACTGTATTTAAGTCACGTCAACTTCTTGCATCAAGCCAAGTTGAGTAAATGTAAAGCAATTGTCACATTTTCTTAAATTTGTAGCTTGTAACAAGATGAATTTCAAAGTAAATTGTAAAAGTATAATTTTTATGTTAGGAATTTATTGAAATAAAATTAAAATTTACGATTTAAAAATATTACAGATCCTCAAAACAAAAATCACTTAAGTACTGTAACAAAGGTAATGCATTTTGTTACTATCCACCTCTGTGTGATCATTACATGCAGTATATAATACCATATGTTACAATTACGAGAGCTGAAAATTGAGGGCTGGACAAACTGTTAAACCTTACTTTCCTCTTAGTGATTTCCTTCATTAGCTTTACTTTGTGACTTTTTCATTAAAGTCTTGTTTAACAAAATGTATATTATCACTGTGCCACAGAATACCTAAATAAATGATGTTGTTTCCTTACCAGAGACATTTGCAGCAGCCACACCAACAGAGGCAGCAGGTGTTAGGTCGGGGCTGTCCTGGGGCCTGGGGTGGGGCCTCGATATGAGCCGCCTGCCTTTTTCTCATCTCCACTCCACTCACGCTGTGGGGCTTCATGGTGAGAGTGCATGCAGGAAATCAACATAGTTAAATATCATTCAAATCGATCACAAGCTAACAGACAGACGTGAGAAAATGACTCTCTGTGTTGCACTTTTTTGCTCCTCAGCTATATGTTACTGTACATCACAGAGGGGAAAATAATGTTGTTTGTTTTAGAGAAAGATAAAGTGTGACTGCAAGCGCTGAGGCAGGACTGAGAGGATTCCCATCCTTTTTTGGTAGTAGGATTTCTGGCATCGGACCAAGTATTTCACTCAGTTTCCACGCACTCATCCACACAACACACAGATTAAACATGCATTAAATTTGCATGAAAACAGACACGTTTTCATGCAACAGAAACAATATCAACATATCTCAGAAAAGTGCACAACAAAAACACTAATTAATGCACATTCGTATTAATCCTTTCAGCTACTTCAGCATGAACTATTTTTGTGGTCTGCCACCTCAGAATGTGCAACGTCTATCATCCAACTTTGTTTTGCAGGAACTCTTCTTTCATTTCACAGCAACCCTGTGGTCAGGCAGAATTTACTGCTGTAGTCTGATGGACTCTTAAAATAAAATAAAGGCCTTGCTTTCTCTGATGGAATGCATATCGCTCACCACCTTTTATACCAAATTATTTTATGACGAGAAATGACAGAAACATAACCATTTTAATCARACCTTGTAAATGATGTTTTGTGCAGTCTCATGCAACGCTGCAAGATTTTGTGAGAAAATTTAGCAGTTGGACTAAATGTGGAGAATGGCTCTCGGCTTGTAGGACACTTTTAGCTCCATGTCTCCAAAAATACTTAAGTTACAAATGTTKTTGGACTGGCAATGTTGTTTCCCTGTAATGGCCATCTTGCTTGGATTGACTCCAAATGGTAATCGAGTACATCCAAAGATTGCTTCCTGAGGGTGTATTCACACCAGGAAAATACTTTTTTCCACTTGTTTGGTCCRGACCAAATAGCGGCCTTTTTTTTTCTTGGGAGGGTGAAACGYCCATTCAGCCGKTTCGGATGTTATCAGTCCATTAAATGGACGTTATCAGCAGTTATCAGTCCCATAGAATGGCTTCAGACTGTCCCGACAGTGCCCCATAGTGGGTTACCAGTGCCATATACGTTGGAATGCAACAATCTGCTACTGCCGGAATCCAGTCTACTTTATCGTAGCCCATGTCATTTTCTCTAAAATTAACCTTAGTGGTTTTATGCCTCATATTAACCAGATTGCATAAAAACCTTAGTGGTTTTATGCCTCATATTAACCAGATTGCATAAACAAAAACTTAGTGGTTTTATGCCTCATATTAACCAGATTGCATAAAAACCTTAGTGGTTTTACGCCTCATACTAACCAGCTGACAGTCTGAAGCCATTCTATGGGACTGATAACGGCTAATAACATCCATTTAATGGATGATAACATCCGAAGCAGGTGGCCCATTTACAGCGGACTAAATGCATTAGGTGTGAATACACCCTGAAACCTTTGTTAATTTGTCCAGTTGTTCATGAGATAGTTTGCCAAGAGAGACATCGTTGATGGCAAAGTTTCAAAAACAGATCTTGAGTGATCAGTTAGCCCTCAAAGTATGCATTGAGGACAACCCTCAGCTACTACCACACCAACTTTAACTCAAAAGCTGTAAAACTGGTTGAGTTATAYACATTGTTGTGTTTGCTGAGGTTGCTTAAAAGGTAATCGGCTATCGATGTCCATCCAAGATTTCATCAAAATTGTCCACTGGTACATGGGATATTTTGCTAACATGATAAACACACACAGGCAAAATCATGATCACCTTTTGCCCTTGACAATTGGGAAGATTACAATATTTTGAAGGTTTTTTTTATTAATGGTTTCATGATTATTTTCAATATTAACTTTCATAATATTATCCACTGACATAAAGGATCTACAAAAAAGAGTGAGACTAGAGRGAAAAAATGTTTCTGTCCCTTAAGTCATAACTTTATGGGTGAATACTTCTTCTACACAGCCAGTGATCCTTATCTCTTAGTTTATGAAGCCAAGCCTCCTTCTGATCCATGAACTATAAATAACATTGTAATTCTGTCATTCTGCCTTGTTAGAGCTACTAATATGCAACCTTCTCCCCATAATCAGCTAATTGCTCTGGATGGACACGGAACCTCAACCAAAGTTTCCTTTGGCTCTTTATTCAAAACAACTCAGCAACCGTCGGTGTAGACTCTGGGAGGTCAGAAGCAAACACTCCTAATGGGCTTGTAAACAAGCAAAGATCCACTTTGGTTTGAAAAATAATGACTTTTAAAAGGCATTTTCCAGTCTTCTTAACAACAAAAATCTAAACTGGAATTGTGAGGTTGTCAAGAGTGTGGTTAAAATGAAAAATAAAGAAAAACACAGTTTGCAGATGTTTTACATCACTGGGAAACTCAGACTCCTGTCAAAACGCATGGAGACCCATTTATTTTGTTGTTAAACAGAACTGCGGCACCAACGAGAACTGAATCATTCTGGACACTTAACAAGGAGCTTAAATAAAGTTTTAAGGTTGCTGCCCCTATTGAAGGGCTAACTTAAACAAAACACAACACTTTTATAAAATAATATAATGCTTTTAAGTCATTTTGGCTACTTAAAACAACTCTGGGATTTAATTTTAATGCCAGAAAACAACTGAAAGCTCAGCAAGAACGTTCTGCTAAATGGGTATCTTCTAAAATTAAACAACTTCTTAAAAAAAAACCTGAAATCAACTGAGTTTTATCGTGCAGCTTTTGGCTTGAAAATAAACTAACTGGACGTCGTACTATTTCTGAAACCGAGGTCTTACCTGTAAAGTCATGACTCAAGTGTAACGTCTCAAAACAGGATTTAAAATAAAATATCATAAAAATAACTGCCAGTACCATAGAAAAGGCTTCTCCTCTCTTTAGCATTTCCTCCACTGAACACGTGTGATTTCCTACAGCGATGACGCACGGGAGGCACGCCTGAGGCGACCTGCCCGATATGCAAATGCAGTAGCCTGACCAGCGGAGCGACCAGCGGTTATTGAGCAACCAGGTAGCACCGGTGACAAACAGGCCGCAACATGCAAATGTGAGGAAGGGTTTGGTTTTTGTTCCAAACTGGAAGAAGAGGCCACATTGACAGGATATGCAAATGTGGATTGGAAATACAAATATGCTGTGATGAGTGGAAAAATAAAAGTTGTCGAAAATAGACACATGTTCTGTAATTAAAACCCTTTCCAGTTTTCTAAATAATTTCAACATTTTTACATGTTTGCATATTAACAGTGATTATCCAACTGCTCATCTTAACCTGGAAACCTTCATTTTGCTTCGTGGGCCTGTTTGTAAGTGATCGTAGAAGTATGATTTTTTTCTTTGGGGCCCCTAAAGTGCTAAATGTAACACAAGAGATGATAATCTTATGTTGGAAGATGCAACCTATTTGATGTGTCAGGTTTCTATGTTACTGTTGGGAAAAGAAGTAGCTATAATAGTACTTCGGCAAAAAATGCTCTATGAAACTACTTTTCATCAACTGACAACACAATTTTTTGCAAAAACAAAAGAAAAATCTATTTTTTGTTCGCTTTATGTCAAAAACAAACCCTGACTGAAATTAAACTGCATAACAGAAGAGATTTATCCAACACTGCAGTTTGAGCTGAACTTTGTGCACGTTTTGACTCTTGTCTGCGGATTTTTCCCGCCCAAAAAGTTTCATTTCTTCTTTCAGTTTTAAAACATGTCTCTGTCTGCTTTTTCTGACAAAAAAGAAGTGCAAGTTTTAAAAAAAAAGGGGTCACTACTTTGTCTCCCTCCTGCCTCGGCCAGTTTTCTGGGGGAAACTGTGATGTGAACACAACACAACGAGGCTGGCTGACTGACACATGAAATGACACCTTATGTATTGAAAGCTAAACTTCTATGAAGTTAAAGGAGGAAAATGACATTGACAAGAGCCACAAGTTGTCTTCATATTTCCACACAGAAGTGGGGGAAAAAAAACAGTTGGTGGAAGGAAACCTCTGAAACCACAATCACAAACTGCTTATAGAACTCTCGTCATCAAACATGTCGTTAGCTTCCCTTTGATGCCCTTTATAACAGTAATATCAGACAACATTTAAAACTTACCATGAATTAATGAGTGTATAAACACAGGTCAGACAGAGCGGTCATGGCGTGAGGTAATAGGTTGYTGCAAGCTGTTTGACAAAGTGACCGACGAGTGGGCTGTCTGAGTGTCTTTTTTTGGCGAGCGGACTGTTTGTTTGGCTTGCTGGAGATGCAGGTCAAGGTGAGGGGGTTCTTTTCACCACGGGGAAGAGAGGATACTTGTGTCACCATCCCTGACCGGAGTGGCACAGAAAGAGACAAACAAGCTGAGCTGAGATGTTGAAGACTTTCCTCCTCTTGTTTCCTTCACCTTCTTTGTATTCTGCTCTCGCCGGTGCCCTCTAGTCTTCCTTGGATCTTGGTAAAAGGATCATTTATGGATGTGAACGTGAAGAGGGGCAGTGAATGTATGGCATCTGAAAAACACATAGAAAAAGAAAAACAATGCTTTAAACTCTATATGTTTTAACATAACAAAGATGCAAACTTTCATGACAGTGAAGCTGAACTTTTTATTTAATAAACTCACAGTCAGAAATGCAATTTAAAGCAATATCTGACGTAAGAAAAACGATTTATTTTTAAAAATATGTCTAGTACCCCACATCTTTAACTAAGTAAAACGGTTTTGGAAGATAGCAATGTCTAAGGTGGATTAGCCAATTATAAAAAATGTATATTTTAAAAAAGATTAGACAACTTGGCTAGTTGATGTGAAAAGACACATCCCACAGTGGAAACCAGATCAGCTGACACTTCTTTGTTCCTCAAAAGGTGGTGATGAGGCACCTTCCCACAGGCTGTGCAGAGGTGTTAATGCTGAAAGTACAACTTCTAAATGATATAAGACAAAAGCTGTCTGTTCCTGTAAGCCCCTCTTTATCCATCCTAACAAATATTTTTAAAACTTTTGTACCAGACCTTTTAACAGGGTCAATACTGCTTCACCTGTGACCTGAATTTTGGGTACCTTTGACCAGAAAGGGGGAGCTCATGGAAAAACAAGTTGTTAGTCCCTGGCTAATGCTCATGCAGTCCAGTTTTTTCAGGTTTGGCAAAGAGGTTAATAAACAATAGTTTCATGAATGTCGAGTGATTTTTTTCCACATTTAGAAATTCATCAGTACCTTCACCACTTCCTAAAGTTAAAACTTAATGTGTCAAAAGCTTAGAGTATGATATTGGGTTCTAAATATATCATCAGAAAACCTCCAACGTTAGATATTTCTGTAAATAACCAACAAACTGAACAAGTTAAAGAAATCAAACTGATGAGAGTTACATTTGGTCAAACAATATCATGGTCCTCATATATTCAAAGGTTAGTAACTAAAATGAGTAGAAACATTGTAACAATTCTGAGCAAAGTTTACTTCATGTCATTTGAAATAAGGAAATCCTTATTTAGTCTTAGTCTTTAGTTCTGTGCCACCTCCAACAGTGGTTTTCATAATGGGGGCCGCCAGCCAGGGATGATGGGGGGCATAAGATAACTGGAGGGAATTTAAATTGGAAAAAAGTGCTGCGGTTGAAAAAAATTACATTTAATAAATATTTTAAATCATTATCATAAAATCAATTGTGTTTTTCAATAAAATTCATAATACTATATTGACATATGAGTGCTTAAGAGGTTTGATTCTTTAGTTTTGTCCTTATCGTCAACAGTTTGTTAAAAAGTTGTTGTTTTTGTAGGAATATAGATGTGATGTACAAGAATGATCCGAATCTTTTGAACGGCTCCTTACAACGAATGTTAGGAGCTGAATTACAGGCAGTGAAGAGACATTTGTAGTTTTATTTATTTATTTTTCATTCCTCATTTAATCTTTTTTTTCATCCTTAAATCACTCCAGCTTAGCTTCTTCACAGAAAACCGGCAGAGCGGTGGTGTACAGAAGCTCAGGGGAAAAGGAGAGGGGGTTTCTGCTTGACAAAACCCACGTAACATGATGACATCATCACGTACACCATTTGTGATAACGTAACTCATTCAAAATCGAACGATTCTTTTGAATGCAACAAATGGCTCCTCAAGATCTGGATCCTTCAAAGAGCCATTTATCCCATCTCTAGAATATAATAGTACTTAAAGGGGCAATATTATGTGTTTCTCAGGCATATACGTATTTAAATACTATACCATAATAAAGTATCTATGTCACCTTTAGTTGTTATTAAAAGGTTGTTTTTATGTTTAAATAGAAAATAAACTTATCTTCTCATCACTTCCTCTTCTAAAAGCCTTGAAAATGGCCTCTGTCTCTTTAAGAACCACCTTCTGCTTCTGTCCCATCCATTTCAGTGTATTTTGAATCTGAAAAGAGCTTCACTGAGTGAGAACTAGTGTTAAGAGCAACAGTTTAAGTTTCACTTTCACTTTGCTC